TTTAACTCTTCCTTCCTACAATGCCCCCCAATAAACTCCCAGCTGTACTCGTGAATAATTAGTTTGTTGCTTAGCGAAATGACATCTCTACGAAGACTTAAGTTAAGTGAATTGTCTTAAGTTATTTTCACAGAAAAAATATCTCTGCTGTCTCTTCAACCGAACGGAATCGACCTCGAAAGTTCGCTGATTGGAAACTAACTCTGACTTTCGAGCTCAATATTTGAGGGCGAGTTCTCAGCAAAACAAATAAGCAACCAAAGAAAAACGGAAGTCTTGATCATGGGTAACAATTGGTGGTTCTACTTCAACGTTTTACATTTCTAAAGAGCTTTTTACTTTGAGAAAAATTGGTTCCTTTTGTGCCCAAACGGGACCAAAAAATTGGCCCCAAAAGGTACCAAAAAATAAATGACCAAAACTGGACATTTAATATTTTGCTTCCAATAGTCACCATCATTTTCCAGCTGTTTACAAATTTGGTGAAAAATGTGGCCGAGGAGCACCAGCATGTTGTTTTTTTTTTGAGATGGTTGATGCCAAAAAACAACGGATGTTTTTGGCTGTTCTTGTTCTTAATTTGGTACAGTTCCAATGAGTTTGACGGAAAAATATAATTAAAAATATCTGCGAATCAAAAAGATCTGGATTTTAAATCTCTAGAATATCTGGTAAAAAAAATCAAAATATCTGCGAATATATTAATTTGCTGAATTTATGAGAAAAATTGTGTGATTTGTAAGAGGTAAGCAGTTTCGTACTAATGCAGATCTTTCTCGACTTATCAACATTTATGACCCTTTTTATACATGAAATCTGATTTTTAGGGGATTGTAATCGATTATATTCAGCAACCAAAAGTTCATTATATTTCTTTATAATCGACTATAGTCCATTTTTGTTCACAATAACCGATTATTTTTTGTTCATAAAACTCGTGAAAACCGATAAATTTTGCAAATGTAAAATGATAACTCTATTTTTGCAGCATTCTTCAAAACTAAAACCCGAACGAACAAGTTCATACCTGTGTACAACCTTCCACCCCCCCCCCCCCCCGTTTCAACGAAGGGGGGGGGTTGTAAGCAAGCAGTTTTTGCAGCATTCTTCAAAACTAAAACCCGAACGAACAAGTTCATACCTGTGTACAACCCCCCCCCCCCCCCCCCCCCCACGTTTCACATGCGCCTCTTCTTTCACGCCACGCCCCTCACTCGTTCCAACCCGCCACCCCACACACACATCCTTCCAATTTCGCCCACACCCCTCCCTCCCCCACACACCCTTCCACCTCTCCCAACACCCCATCTTCGCCCTTTCACTATTAAACCATCCCTCAGTTTAACACCCCCAAGACTTTAACTTCCTCCGTGAGGGGGTGTAGAGTTAAACTTCGGGTATGGGCGTTACGTGCAGTAAATTAACCCCTGGCTTAAAAGGAAGCTTAAAAAAGATGGGGACAAGGATGGAAGTATTTTATATAATGGAGTGTAATAAAAAGTGTAACAAAATTCGAGAAACTAAAAATTTGCATACGAAAATATTAGGAAAAAAAGTTGAAAACGGCTTAAAACTTAAATGTCATTTTTGCAATTTTATTATAAAACGTGTGCCAAGCCAGAAGCAACTGCCAAATTGTAAAACACTACACTCTCTTTGAAGAATATAGACATTTTTTAAAAACTTCATAAGCCACTATGATCAATTAAAATCGATTAAAATGCATTTTATTGATATGACAAAAAATTGATTAGAATCCATTTTTAATAGTTTATACTCAATTTTTTTTTTTTGCTTTTTTGTGATGATCAAAAAAACCGAATAAAAATGTTTATTATATAATATCCATGAAATTTCAGTGCCAGCTTCTATGAAGAAGAAAATTTTAGTTTATAAAACTAGTAATTACAACAACAACGATGAGCCAGTCAGGGCTCAGTAAAAGTCAATTGGGGATAAAATGCCAATTAGCGGAAAGTTTTGTCAATTAATTGGATTAACAATCCTGGTTATGTCAATTAATTAATCAATTGCAATTAATTGTTTTCGTTCATGGCTTTTGCTACATCATTCTTTGAACAAAATTTTTGGTTGACGTTCAGAAAAAGCTGCATTTCGAGGTTCATTGGCAGCAGACTCTGTCTGAGGTCGTTGAATGCAAATCCGGCTTAGCTAAAAAAAATCGCTCGAAAAATCGAACAATTTACAGAGCTGCTCAATTGACCTGATTTTGACTTAAAATTGTATAGCGTGCCACCCAACTAAAAACACCCAGCTAATTGCAATTAATTGACCTTCGTTGTCAATTGACACTTATTGAAAGAAAAGTAATGTCAAGTAATTGTCTCCACATAATTGCAATTAGTTGGTCACCAACTGACTTTTACTAAGCCCTGGAGCCGGTAGAATGGCAAAAACGTTATCATTAAATAACAGTTGGAAAAAAAATCTGATATATAGATGCAATTATAAAATCATTTTTTAAAAGGAATTTAGGGTGTTTTAACATCAGGAGTAGACCCTATTTTCAGTGACTCCTCCAATCAGTGACTATTTTGCCATACTATCTGCCGTTCCTGCTCGACAAAAACTTATTTGTAATAAAACTGAGCAGAGTGCAAACAAGTCTGCTAGTATCAGGGTGCCTTATCAGAGCTCAATGTGATCAGACTGCTCTTCAAAATTTATAGAGGACGGTTCGAGCAAAAACAATTTATAAATTTCAAAAAAAAAATGGAAATTTAAAAAAAATGGATTAGTTCTTTCATGAAAATCATCCCCCACAAGTTGGTTGAAGTACAAAAAGATATATTCAGCAAACAGTATTTAAATTGTTCTAGCCTTTATTTCATTCGGAGTGATTTTGAAGCCAGATAAGGTAGCCGCTTATGTGTTAACAGCTTGAAATATATAGCAGAAAATGTATATCATAGGTAGACCAAAGTGGCAATTTTTTAACCCGCATAACTTCGTACAAAAAGATCACAGATTTTTTTTAGGATTTGAGCTCGTATCATTTAAAGTCTATATGAAATCTCATCAGAAATGATTACCCGGGTTAACAAAAGCCCCAAATCATACATTGACAAACAATTGAAAATTTCTTATTCTACAATTTCCCACAAGCAAAAGTGACCAGAAAATTACATGAAACCTCTATGATGTTTTTATATATGATTATTGTATGTTTTATAGCAATTTTCTGAAAATCAATTTTGTATTATATAATGTTTTTCATACATGTAATTTGTATGACAAGCATTGTTTTGTTTTTAAGAACAACGAAAACCAAAACTTTTTCATGCTAAAATTCAGAGATACAGTAAGTGGTTTCGATGGCACAGATAACCTAAGTTTGATGACTTGCCAATAAAAACCAGTGTTTTGGCTCTCGCATTGCATTAGCTAAGAAAAAAACGTACAAGTAGAAATCGTAAAATCTACTCTGCCTGAAAAAAAAATAAATGAAATTTAAAAAAAAAACACTAACTTTGGCTCGACGAAAAACAATTCATTGTGATTTTAGATAATTTGTGTAGCAACTTTAACCAGGACTGCAATATAGACTAAAAGTTTTTAATTTTAAAGATGACTTTTTGTAAAAATTTGCTCAAGAGCACAGGTATTGTTTTTAATCGTGGCTTTTCCAGGTATATCATATCATCCTAGCTTGGAAAATCAAACTCTTCATTTTCGTGTATTTTATTTGCTCTGCTAATTTTTCTCGGATGCCGTTTTCTCAGAAGATTGAGACCCTCAGCACCCAAAAGGTCCCTTGTTAGGTGTCGTTTTAAGACACGCATCTTTCGTCGGAGAGTCATAAAATATAGCTGAAGGTCCCTCGGGCGACAGTAGTCAATTAAATTAAACCTTGCATTTATAGTATGATAGGACGATTAGTGACTTGGCCTTTAGCTTCCTTCAGGTCTACCACAGCCTGACCAATTTCGGCTGCAAAGTGGTACCACGTGAGTTAAGTTATATTGGTTAACTCATAGAGTAATTTCGGATAGGGTACATCGTCTGCTCGTCACGCTAATTTATTTTCGGCCGGATAGATTCGTGCAACTTCTTAGTCTAATACCGATCTTAATCTTACTCTTATATCTCCAAGTCTCAATAGATCTAGTGTATACTGGTTTATGTGAGTTAGTTCTTGGAGTTTATCTAGAAGGAGAACAACTGTGTTCTAAGTTTCATTTAAATTGTAATTTTACTAATAGTTTTACTAAGTTTTACTAAAAAATCCATCGTTGATATTCAAAATGTTTTTTAGGTTCAAATGACTAATTTAATATTTCTTAGGCTTTTTACCGTTACAGCTGTTCTATGCGAACTCTACTATTCAAATACAAACACAGTGTGGGGGTTATATTTTTGTCACAATGCTGTCGGGACTCATTGATAAGAAGACCAAAAGCTATACTTCTGAATGAAAGTGAAAAATGCATTTTAAAAGTATGAACATAATCATAACCATGAAGCAAGACTTTACGACTTATGTTCTCAACTAATACGATAGTTATCGTAATTGCACGCAAAAATCATTTTTGAAAGTAATAATGAAATTATAAAAAGTAAAACAATTTTTTCGGAGGCTTTTGTAAATCATTTTTTTTGTGATGCAATTTTTCCGGAGGTTTCTTGGCAGGGTACACCGTCTGCTCGTCACGCTATCTTATTTTCGGCCGGATAGATTCGTGCAACTTCTTAGTCTAATACCGATCCTAATCTTACTCTTATATCTACTAGTCTCAGGCTGTTTAACTAGTCTCTGCTAGGCTCAATAGATCTAGAGTATACTGGCTTATTGCGACTGCTGAAGTTCTCTTGGAGAGGTAACTAATTTCCAAGTTAAATTCAAATCTCTCTGGTGCTGAAATTACAAGTAGTTTCAGCACTTACAAATAAGTGGGTTGTTAGTTGGATGGATTATGATTGGTTAATATTAAACATTTTACAGTGGTAAAATATCTAATTTATCCAATAATAAAATGTAGTTTAGATCAGGTTCCATTTTGCTCTAGAGTTATGCCAATTATCAAAAACAATCACAAAACTGGTTATGAAAGTGTTAAAGACTTTTTTAAAAAGTAGAACTTCGTGATGCAATTTTTTCGGAGGTGTTTTACAAAAGGTATTGCTCGTGCTCAAATAAAACTAATTTTTTTTAATCCGCTCGTAAGTTTTACAGTTAACCGTTTTTACAGATAAAATTTGTAAACTTTGTAAACTGCGTAAATTCAAAAATTAAAATAGTATTTTAACAGGTAAAAATGAATTTTTTCGTAAGTTCTCTAAAAATTAACAATTTTTTATTCCGACGGAGATGGTGGTTCCTTTTCTACTGAAATATTTTTCAATTTCGTTGTTTAAGGGAAACGTTTTCAAACAAAAACGCTTCTGCTTGTGGGTTCCAGCCAGGGAACGCATGTTATCTTGGTTCTTGTTAAACTATCATGTTATCAGAACTGAAAATTGCTCACTATAAGCAAATAATTTGGAGCTTAAGCTACAAAGTTCAAGACATTGATCTGGGCTTTATCGGACAGGGAAAGTGGCATTGACTTGATTCTTCCATATATATTAGGACCCGGGACTAAATCTCCCATAGAGCTCATTATCCTAAAAAAGGCCCTGGACAAAAGCCTCCTCAAAGTAAATCTCGCAGAGGAAAAAAAGCCCCTTGTTGAAACTATTTTGACCTAAGAAATTCAATTTTTAGCAGACCTAATGGGTTGCAAT